ATTATCCTCTGTACAAAATGAATGATTCTATCCTCCATTAACTCTTTAAACAACGAGCTCTTATAATTTCCCAACGTGTCATTAAACTCAACAGTGCACGAGCCTTTTTTACACCAATATCAATGACAATCTCTTTTGACAACACAAAAACCCATTCCCGACACGTGCCGTGGTCTATGTGGTCAGGGTATTGGTCAAGTCTAAGACAATGTCCAGCTAGCTGACCCGTGCTTGACCAACAACTACAAAAAAATCAAATTACCTTTGAACCATTTGGAGGAGATGTGAAAACATAAACATTGAGCTTTAATTATTTCGTTCGGGTGGCTTTCAATATCTTCCGCTTGTTTGAAGTTACGGACTCCATCTGCTTATTCCCTGGCCCTTCCACCCATTGTTTCCCCCGTGTACAATCAACCAAACAGCTAGTTTCTTTAAACTTTTGACCCACAATTCTTGTAAAATTTTGAAATAAACTTTTCGTGTCTGTCAGCTGTTCAAATATTGGCGGTGGTGTCATTTTCCAGTGGACAGGTCCTTTTCCTGTCTATAATGGATCCTTCGATTGTCAGCCTTGGACATGACATGACATGGTTTCAGGAGCGGTTATTTTCACACCGAAGGCTGCCAAATGGAGACGAGATATAAGACGAGAGAACTGTTTGTATCATCTCAATATGTGATTAGGTGTGCACACAGCATGGGTGTGGGGTATATTATGTGATGAACCAGAGAGTACCAGTTGTGAAGATATATTTCATATACATTTGTTTATGCAGGTACTGGATTATTTCTAACCTTGCTGCTAATGTGAAATCAACATGATTGTTTGAACAATTTGCCCGGCTCTAGTCCTAAGAAGAGTAAGGCACAAGACAATATATTTGGTTTGAGTGCTTGAATAATATGATTCAGCCGATATCTGCACTAATCGATGGTTGCATGTGAAGGGTAGTAGAACACGCGGCACAACTGTGGTGCAGGAACTGGAGCTGGTTCTAGAGGTGGGTCAACTACACTTTCATTCTTTATCTGAAGAACTTTATTAGACAAACACACGCACCAGACACAGTTTCCATAATATACTTTGAAAGAGTTAAGGATGTGTATGGTTTAAAACTAATTGCGATATATCTTCACCTTGAACATAATTTTCGCACATAACGCAGTTTCAGGATGACATATGGCTAAATTAGTTAGTACAAGTTGGAATAGTAAATCTAAAAGAAAATATCCAAGTTGATCTTGTCGTAATTCATAAAAAAAAGTATATGAGCATATTATCTAAAGTTACTCTCAACACGAAATTTATTGGGTAGACAGGTAGTGAATGTTCTGACCAAAAACTGATATGATATCCCTTATCAGCCACATTAATCTGCACTTGCCCTTAGTGACACCATGTTGACAGATGCATCCTGGGATTGTTTGTTTGCACAACCCACACAAGGTGTAATGTAAACAATCATATAAACGAGACTCCATCCACTTTACAGTCACGTTAACGTGATTGGTCCGAGGGATAGCCGATGTCCAGGGTTACCCGGCGATGGAGAAATCTGCAGGACGGATCGGGTCAGCTGACCACTCTAGGGTCAATCCTTGTTCATATGACACATGCCATAATAATAAAAATGAGTGGTAAAATATACGATATTTTTGTTTGTTCTAAAAGTAGATGCATACGTCTCATCAGTAGCACTCTCAAGTGTACAAGTTTGTAATATTTATCAAAAAGTGTCATTGTTGAAGGTACATAATCTCTTTCCTTTTGAAACCTATGACAGACAGTGGTCAGTGGAAATGGTAAACAATGGACCAGGGATTAGAAAAACACGCACTCATTTGAAAACAGTATGTTGTTATATTCCGACTAAAGTCGTGGATGCGTATATTCACTTGACATAACTTCATCCAAATAAGGTTTATACGGTTGTGAAACTGCATAACTACCACCAGATGATATATAATGGATTATATCAGACAGAGAACATATTCCGATATATGCTCCCTGGATGATATAATGATACAATGACAACGATTGTCATTGATAAAAATGGATCCTAGCAAAGTTGCGGATTTTCTTATTAGCCAATCAATCATCAGTGTTTTTTAATAAGTACTATATACTATCTATAAAAATGTTTTCATATTGTTTACACGAGAATACACAACAGTTACTGGTATTCTAGTTAGTATTCGCAGTGGCAATGCGTATGTGACCACACTACAGACAGTAGCCAAGTCTATACATTCCAGCAGTCCAAGGTCAAGGTGACCCAAAGAAGACTTCGGCAGAGCACTGGCATGGTCAGTGATATGGTTGGAACAGACTCGGGCAGAGGTCACTGATATTGATTGCTTACAGCTTATCACCTAGCCGGTGTTTATTTCAAGATATCCCATCTTATGAGGTCAAGATGACCTAGCTCTTTGTTGTACGCGGTGGTGAAAGTGTGTGAAGCCATAGATAACGAATGTTGACACTGTTTATTACCATCCCAGATAAACATCGGCGCCTTTGTTGTCGTCACTCATTGCGTCAGTAGACACCAGCTGTTTTCCCGCCACATGACAGGGTTATATGTACTACTTGCCAATAAATGTTGTTAATTTCAAAGTCTGTCAGGTAGTTTTATGTACGTATTACGTCGGCTAATAATACATTGCATTGTGGTTATTTAGCGTGACAATGTGGATACACTGAGTATAATGAGTATAATTTAGTTATGCGCCGCAGTCATAGATATGCACTTTCAGGAGCTATGCTATCGAGTCTGGGCCAAACAAACCAGTGGTTGAAAGCAACGATCGACACCACCAAGAAACGATGACACACAATCTGCAATGTCACACCTACTAACCACCCGATCCATAAACGTCTGCTCTACGACAAGCATGGGGCACTGGCCCGGAATACCCATGGTCAGATTGAATAGGCCAGCCCCATCTCTATGATCGTTTGACGCAGAGTAATTGTGTCTTTGTATGTCCAGTAGTCAGTGGGTACCCGACGGTTTGTCAAATGGTCTCTCGTTGTGCGTTACCAGCCTCTGTCAAAGTCACAATACATTTACAGTCTCGTCGTTACATATTGAACCGTTACCATCCTCTTCCTACGGGCGGATCCGGTGTCATCTTGACGGGACAGATGTAGACGCTCCAGTAGCCGTAAATCTATGTTAGTCTCGCTGTCACGTCTGTCTTCTTGGCCTGACCACCGTGAAACTACGATGTCCTGTGATACAAGGCCAGCAGTGAGTGGTGCCTGGCCTATCTGCATACGTTCTGTACACTACAGCTAATTACTTCCGTAGGTTTCCTTGTCCTTGTTTCCTGATGAACCAACGAACGTCACGCACATTAACGTCACGTGAAATCACACTCAGTCCTCAATGTTACTGATGATAGTTAGTACAGACAATGAGTATTGTTTTACGCCGCTTTTAGCAATATTCAAGCAACATCACGGCGGGGGACACCAGTCATTGGCCTCACACATTGTACTCATATGGGGAATCGAACCCGGTTTCTCGGCATGACGAGCGAACGCTTTAACCACGAGGCTACCCCACTGCACGGATAGTCAGTACAGAAACATACAGATATCATGTTAAAACGTTACAAACATGTCAGATGCCATGAACAAATATCTGTGACCACACGGTCTTCAGGACGCACAGAACATGATCTGTGCACATGAGTATCCACCGACAACATGCTATGACTTATCATCACACAGCAAGTGTTGTTATTATCACCATATTTTGTATATAGTTTACGACAACAGACAGTATCAAATTAGTGAGTAGGAAACTGTGCCATAATTGGCTTCCTAATCCACTGCCCGAGACACAATGGAAGGTGACATATGTGTGGAGTTACGTGTGTCCTCATCTGCACTGACGTATGACCAGAGACGATGAATGTTGTGGGGGCCATCAGCAGACTCCTCCTCATTAGATGTCTGATACCCCTGCCAGCCTCGACCCCGATCCCCGTCATTGACAGCTTGTAGTGGTATGACTCCGGGTCATGGGGAGCTTACAGTTGGAGCATGGATTAAGGTAATACATTGATGCTGGTGGCAAGCGTCTTCATCATGTTAATATTTCAACCTGACCCTGACCTTGATGAATACAAATCTCTTTAGGTTGCCATAGTCAGATTGGGTTACAAGTGATCAATGGAGAATAAACACGCACCTTACTTATTCACACCTTATTATTACACCCGTCGCTATTTCGGGCTGCAACAGGTCATAGTGTATTGGTTGATATGCGACTAGACTCATTTAAACAAACATGGAAAGCAAGCTAAAATTAATGAATTAAAGACATGATCTCGAGTCTCCAGTATACTGATTGGATTGTCACGGCCTCCGATGGCAACCGAATCAAAACAACTTCCCATACTGTCTACACTGTTAACTTTATATACTTATTTTATCAACAATGTCACTGCGTATGTAATTTGGATGTAGGTATGATCGTATGTAATTTGGATGTAGGTATGATCGTATGTAATTTGGATGTAGGTATGATCGTATGTAATTTGGATGTAGGTATGATCGTATGTAATTTGGATGTAGGTATGATCGTATGTAATTTGGATGTAGGTATGATCGTATGTAATTTGGATGTAGGTATGATCGTATGTAATTTGGATGTAGGTATGATCGTATGTAATTTAAAAGCTGTCTTTACATGTACATGGAAACATCAAATCATGTCTGGCACGATAACGCTTTTGATTAAAGCAAATCCATCTGCTTTTATCCCGGCTTTGTTGTTAGCACAACAAAGGACCATGAACTTGGACTTTATCAACGTTAATGGCTATTCACATGAGACACAACACAAATATATTAGCGAGTCCTGTCAAACGTGCCTCTACTGATAGTGTTAGTTGGCGGGACACTGTGGCGTGGCACGGAGAGGTGAGGAGTCTTATCCACGGGTACACAAAACTTACATAATGACGCTGGTGGCAGGTGGGGGATGGTGGTTATCGGGGAGAAGGTGAGATAGGGCACGTGGACGCTATACAGGTGACATAATGGACAGGCAAGTGGACATTCGTCACCACTCGCCCCTTTCCGTAACCTGCATTCGGCTTGTCCCGGAATAACACGAGTTGGTGACGAATGGCACGTGTAATGAGACGGGGTTAAGGATCCGGCGGTGGGGTATAGGGAGAGAGTGTGGGGGGCGTGGGGGGTAGAGGTTGGGTAAACGGGAAAGTCAGAAGGAATGGGTGCATTGTCAGAAAGAAATGGGAACATTAGTGGTTTGTAGTGTAACCATAGAGTTTTAGATAATTTTGTCATTAAACAATATATCACGTGACTAACCGAGGGTCCGGGTTGTCCTGTGGGTACCCGAGTCCTACTCAGGACCCACCCGACCCAAGTACCCGAGTTACCCGTCCCAGCCCTACATCTGTTCCATCTTTTCTAGGGTATGCCGGATAAACGAAATCTAACTGCATTCCTTTTTAAATCCCTTCAAAGGACCCTTACAAACTACCCGCACACCCCACAGCGTTTCTATCTGATGAACAGACACTGCGAGTCATGGAACTATATTGCCATATTTTCTTAAAAGAAACAGGTACTCATTCCGTATATTAACGTTGCAAAATATGTCATCCTTCATTTTCCTTTTATGCTATTTCCCCATTATACCAACCGAAGTCCATCATGTCTGCATACTTCGGGTGCCTCATACATAAGCATGGTGACAGGCAACACACTTATGATTGTTCTATGTTAAAGCACACAGGATTCAGACAAGTCTTCAAACATACTGCGTGCAGCAGGGTATACCGTGGACTTCGTTCAAAGAACCATGACCCTTGACCTTGACCTCTGCACCTTCATATGATTCTGATTACCTTCCCGACTGAAGTATGTTTATTCCTTGGCCGTACAAATAAACCTAACTTAACATTAGTGTAAACATGTCTGGCGCATTTTTACGACCCAAGCTACAGCTCTGAATTCTCTTACCAGCATCACGTTATATTCTCTACACAACACGATTTATACGAGTTCTTCTTACAAAGGGTAGGGTATAACCAATACAGTCCTGGAAGTCCTGGAAGGAGGAGAGAGTACCCCAACATAAGCTGTTTTCTGTCATGCGACGGCTCTTGCGGTTTGAATTGTTTCTATACGGAGTTTAGTTAACAGTTTTGTGGGATGCAACAAATCTAATTACTATCAAAGCTGATTTAAGTCAGCTTGTATTCACCTACTTCAATGGAACAATATAGTATTATTTGGACGAGACAGACGCTCATGGGAGACCGGTGTTAGTCCACAATGTTAGTGTATCTCGTCTCCCAACTGTCTCAGTCCACCACGTTCAGCACATCTTGTATATAACTTCATTTCAATCCAGCGTGTTCAGCTCATTCTGTTTCCCAGCTTGATCTCAGTCCACGGTGTTCAGCTCATTCTGTTTCCCAGCTTGATCTCAGTCCACCGTGTTCAGCTCATTCTGTTTCCCAGCTTGATCTCAGTCCACCGTGTTCAGCTCACTCTTCTTCCCAGCTTGATCTTAGTCCACCGTGTTCAGCTCATTCTCTCTTCCAGCTTGATCTCAGTCCACCGTGTCCAGCTCATTCTGTTTCCCAGCTTGATCTCAGTCCACCGTGTTCAGCTCATTCTTCTTCCCAGCTTGATCTTAGTCCACCGTGTTCAGCTCATTCTGTCGCTCATCTTGATCTCAGTCCACCGTATTCAGCTCATTCTCTCTTCCAGCTTGATCTCAGTCCACCGTGTCCAGCTGATTCTGTCTCCCAGCTTGATCTCAGTCCACCGTGTCCAGCTCATTATGTCCTCCAGCTTGATCTCAGTCCACCGTGTCCAGCTGATTCTGTCTCCCAGCTTGATCTCAGTCCACCGTGTCCAGCTGATTCTGTTTCCCAGCTTGATCTCAGTCCACCGTGTCCAGCTCATTCTGTCTCCCAGCTTGATCTCAGTCCACCGTGTTCAGCTCATTCTCTCTTCCAGCTTGATCTCAGTCCACCGTGTCCAGCTCATTCTGTTTCCCAGCTTGATCTCAGTCCACCGTGTTCAGCTCATTCTTCTTCCCAGCTTGATCTCAGTCCACCGTGTCCAGCTGATTCTGTCGCTCATCTTGATCTCAGTCCACCGTATTCAGCTCATTCTCTCTTCCAGCTTGATCTCAGTCCACCGTGTCCAGCTGATTCTGTCTCCCAGCTTGATCTCAGTCCACCGTGTCCAGCTCATTATGTCCTCCAGCTTGATCTCAGTCCACCGTGTCCAGCTGATTCTGTCTCCCAGCTTGATCTCAGTCCACCGTGTCCAGCTCATTCTGTTTTCCAGCTTGATCTCAGTCCACCGTGTCCAGCTCATTCTGTCTCCCAGCTTGACCTCAGTCCACCGTGTTCAGCTCATTCTCTCTTCCAGCTTGATCTCAGTCCACCGTGTCCAGCTCATTCTTCTTCCCAGCTTGATCTAAGTCCACCGTGTTCAGCTCATTCTGTCGCTCATCTTGATCTCAGTCCACCGTGTTCAGCTCACTCTTCTTCCCAGCTTGATCTCAGTCCACCGTGTCCAGCTCATTCTGTCTCCCAGCTTGATCTCAGTCCACCGTGTCCAGCTCATTCTGTCTCCCAGCTTGATCTCAGTCCACCGTGTCCAGCTCATTCTGTCCTCCAGCTTGATCTCAGTCCACCGTGTCCAGCTGATTCTGTCTCCCAGCTTGATCTCAGTCCACCGTGTCCAGCTCATTCTGTCCTCCAGCTTGATCTCAGTCCACCGTGTCCAGCTGATTCTGTCTCCCAGCTTGATCTCAGTCCTACGTGTCCAGCTGATTCTGTCTCCCAGCTTGATCTCAGTCCACCGTGTCCAGCTGATTCTGTCTCCCAGCTTGATCTCAGTCCACCGTGTCCAGCTCATTCTGTCTCCCAGCTTGATCTCAGTCCACCGTGTTCAGCTCATTCTGTCTCCCAGCTTGATCTCAGTCCACCGTGTCCAGCTGATTCTGTCTCCCAGCTTGATCTCAGTCCACCGTGTCCAGCTGATTCTGTCTCCCAGCTTGATCTCAGTCCACCGTGTCCAGCTGATTCTGTCTCCCAGCTTGATCTCAATCCACCGTGTTCAGCTCATTCTGTCTCCAAGCTTGATCTCAGTCCACCGTGTCCAGGTGATTCTGTCTCCCAGCTTGATCTCAGTCCACCGTGTCCAGCTGATTCTGTCTCCCAGCTTGATCTCAGTCCACCGTGTCCAGCTGATTCTGTCTCCCAGCTTGATCTCAGTCCACCGTGTCCAGCTGATTCTGTCTCCCAGCTTGATCTAGGTCCACCATATTCAGCTCGTTCCGGTGTAGTGAGGGTAGGTGAAACCAACGAGTATCGGTATCGAGAGGTGGTGTTAAACCCAGCTGTACCGGTGTAGCGAGGTGGGGTGTAACCCAGGAGTACTGATGTTTTTAGGTGAGGTGAAACCCAGGAGTACAGGTGTAGCGAGTCGGGGTGAAACCCAGGAGTACTGATGTTTTTAGGTGCGGTGAAACCCAGGAGTACAGGTGTAGCGAGTCGGGGTGAAACCCAGGAGTACAGGTGTGGCGAGGTGAAGTGAAACCCAGGAGTACAGGTGTAGCGAAATGAGGTGAAACCCAGGAGTACAGGTGTAGTGAGGTGAGGTGAAACCCAGGAGTACAGGTGTAGTGAGATGGGGTGTAACAAAGGAGTATTGGTGTAGTAAGGTGGGGTGAAACCCAGGAGTACTGATGTACTGAGGTGGGGTTTAAACCCAAGAGTACCGGTGTAGTGAGGTTGGGTGAAACCCAGTTGTACCAGTTTAGCAAGGTGGGGCGTAACCCAGGAGTACTTGTGTAGTGAAGTGGGATGAAACCCAGGAGTACTGATGTACTGAGGTGGGCTGAAACCAAGTTGTACCAGTTAAGCAAGGTGGGGTGTAACCCAGGAGTACCGGTGTAGTAAGGTGGGGTGAAACCCAGTTGTACCTGTGTAGTGAGGTGGGGTGAAACCCAGGTGTATCCGTGTAGTGAGGTGGGGTGTAACCCAGGAGTACTGGTGTAGTGAGGTGGGGTGAAACCAAGGTGTATCCGTGAGGTGAGGTGGGGTGTAACCCAGGAGTACTGATGTTTTGAGGTGGGGTGTAACCCAGGTGTACAGGTGTAGTGAGGTGAGGTGAAACCCAGGACTACTGGTGTAGTAAGGTGGGGTGAAACCCAGGAGTACCGGTCTAGTGAGGGTAGGTGAAACCCACGAGTATCGGTATCGAGAGGTGGGCTGAAACCCACGAGTATCGGTGTAGTGAGGTGGGCTGAAACCCAGGAGTATCAGTGTAGCGAGAGGGCGTGAAACCCACGAGTATCAGTGTAGTGAGGTGGGGTGAAACCCACGAGTATCAGTGTAGTGAGGTGGGGTCAAACCCAGAAGTACAGGTGTTTTCAGGTGGGGTGTTACCCAGGAGTACTGATGTTTTGAGGTGGGGTGAAACCCAGGAGTACTGGTGAATTGAGGTGAGGTGAAACCCACGAGTATCGGTATCGAGAGGTGGGGTGAAACCCACGAGTACTGATGTTTTGAGGTGGGGTGTAACCCACGAGTATCGGTATCGAGAGGTGGGGTGAAACCTAGGAGTATCAGTGTAGCGAGATGGGGTGAAACCCAGGAGTATCAGTGTAGTGAGGTGGGGTAAAACCCAGGAGTATCAGTGTAGCGAGGTGGGGTAAAACCCAGGAGTATCAGTGTAGTGAGGTGGGCTGAAACCCAGGAGTATCAGTGTAGTGAGGTGGGGTAAAACCCAGGAGTATCAGTGTAGTGAGGTGGGCTGAAACCCAAGACAACTCTGAAACCCAGGAATACCGGTGTAGTGAGGATAGGTGAAACCCACGAGTATCAGTGTAGTGAGGTGGGGGGTAACCCAGGAGTGCCAGTGTAGCGAGATGGCGTGAAACCCAAGAGTATCGGTGTAGTGAGGTGAGGTGAAACCCTTGAGTATCGGTATCGAGAGATTGGGTGAAACCCACGAGTACTGATGTTTTGAGGTGGGGTGAAACCCAGGAGTACTGATGTTTTAAGGTGGGATGTAACCCACGAGTATCAGTGTAGTGAGGTTGGCTGAAACCCAGGAGTATCAGTGTAGCGAGGTGGGGTGAAACCCATGAGTATCAGTGTAGTGAGGTCGGCTGAAACCCATGAGTATCAGTGTAGCGAGGTGGGGTGAAACTCACGAGTATCAGTGTAGCGAGGTGGGGTGAAACCCAGGAGTATCAGTGTAGTGAGGTTGGGTGTAACCCAGGAGTACAGGTGTAGTGAGGTGAGGTGAAACCCAGGAATACTGGTGTAGTAAGATGGGGTGGAACCCAGGACTACTGATGTACTGAGGTGGGGTGAAACCCAGGAATACCGGTGTAGTGAGGGTAGGTGAAACCCACGAGTGTCGGCATTGAGAGGCGGGGTGAAACCCAGTTGTACCAGTTTAGCAAGGTGGGGCGTAACCCAGGAGTACCGATGTAGTGAGGTGGGGTGAAACCCAGGAGTACTGATGTACTGAGGTGGGTGAAACCCAGTTGTACCAGTTTAGCAAGGTGGGGTGTAACCCAGGAGTACAGGTGTAGTGAGGTGGGGTGAAACCCAGGAGTACCGGTGTAGTGAGGTGGGGTGAAACCCAGTTGTACCTGTGTAGTGAGGTGGGGTGAAACACATGTGTATCAGTGTAGTGAGGTGGGGTGTAACCCAGGAGTACTGGTGTAGTGAGGTGGGGGGAAACCCAGGAGTACCGGTGTAGCGAGATGGGGTGAAACCCAAGAGTATCGGTGTAGTGAGGTGAGGTGAAACCCATGAGTATCGGTATCGAGAGGTGGGGTGAAACCCACGAGTATCCGTGTAGTGAGGTGGAGTGAAACCCAGGAGTATCAGTGTAGTGAGGTGGGGTAAAACCCAGGAGTATCAGTGTAGCGAGGTGGGGTGAAACCCACGAGTACTGATGTTTTAAGGTCGGGTGTAACCCACGAGTACCGGTGTAGCGAGATGGGGTGAAACCCACGAGTATCGGTGTAGTGAGGTTAGGTGAAACCCACGATTCTCCGTATCGAGAGGTTGGGTGAAACCCAGGAGTATCGGTGTAACGAGGTGGGGTGAAACCCACGAGTATCAGTGTGGAGAGGATCAACCAATGATTACATTATGGAATTCGGAATGGCGATCGGCGGGTTCTGGTATGCCTAAGGGGCGGATCTTTGTTCAGGTTAATTTTGAGATCAAACAACTAGGCAACCCGTGTCCTCGGCCAAAATAACTTTCGTTATTGTACACGTCATGGCAATATCTAAATTTTAAGGATTGATTCAAAGGTATAAACATTTGCTCATGATTTCTTTCATTCATAGAGATTTTTAGGGAGGGATGAAACATATATACCAGAATGTAATGTCCGTCGATGTAAGCTACAGGCGTCACTGGCTATAAACTAGTCATAGAGAACGTCGGTCAATGTCTGGTCCTCCTCTGGTTGGGTCACGCCAAGGTCAAGTCGACCTACACACCGCTCCAGTAAACAAATATTTCCCGTACTTGAGCCTTTGATATTTATCCTAATGTCAGAGGTTGGTGTAGTCCAGAGTCCAGTTCGTGGCAAATGGTCGCTCAAAAAAAGGTCCAGATGTGCATATCTCGCCACTCCTTGAGGCGTATTTAGTCATAGATACTTTGTAGCGTTAACAATATTAAAAGCCTATTTCAGGTGATTGTGCCCTTGAACGGATTTGTTTACCTGTGTAAGGTCAGCTATTCGTAAAACATATTTCCAGACAATGAGGACACACATGAAGTAGACACGGCTGATAACCGAGTAATAATAGTAATATAGTGGGATCAGCCATTGAAATACTCTGAAATAATAGAAGGAGAATGGGAGACACTTCATGCTCTGTAAGCTTCCGCGAGGGTGGGCATTTCCACAGACAATACTGCCGGCACTGGATGTGGGGATCGGCGTGCGTTGGATGATGTAAGGGAGGTGAGGGGTCAATGAGAATGGGGAATGAACACGTGCGGACTAAATTCGCTTCCCAGGTGATGCCCTTTGCACGTACATACAGAGATGGGGAAGTGCTTGAGGTGGACTTATATTTTTAAATCTCAGTGACTTTGTTAATGGGGCATGCATTGAAACATTTATGTTATAAATGCTTCACATTGGCAACTGTTGGCAGATATGGATGCAGTGGCAGGATTTCGGGACGTGTATGGAGGCAGGGCAGGGTGTGAGGGCAAATATGGGTGCAGGTGTGGGGCAAGTTGAGGGGCAGAGAAGGTATGGTGTGGGGCAGGGAAGTGTGAGGTGACAGGGTGTAAGCGCAGGTTTGTTTGAAGGGTGTGGTAAGAGGGTGTAGGGCAGGGTGGGATGTTGAGGTAAGGCGTTGGGCCAGGTATGGCTGAAGGGTGTGGGACAGCGAGGTGTGTGATGCCAGGCTGTGGGGCAGGGTGTGGGGCAGATATGGGTGAAGGGTGTGGGAAAGGGGTGTATGTGGAGGAAGGGTGTGGAACACGTATGGGTGAAGGTTGTGGGATAGGGGTGTATGGAGGTATTGGTGGATACAGGGAAGGATGTAGGGCTGGGTAGGGTGTGGATACAGGGAAGGATGTAGGGCTGGGTAGGGTGTGGATACAGGGAAGGATGTAGGGCTGGGTAGGGTGTGGATACAGGGAAGGATGTAGGGCTGGGTAGGGTGTGGATACAGGGAAGGATGTAGGGCTGGGTAGGGTGTGGATACAGGGAAGGATGTAGGGCAGGGTAGGGTGTGGATACAGGGAAGGATGTAGGGCTGGGTAGGGTGTGGATACAGGGAAGGATGTAGGGCTGGGTAGGGTGTGAATACAGGGAATGATGTAGGGCTGGGTAGGGTGTGGATACAGGGAAGGATGTAGGGCTGGGTAGGGTGTGGATACAGGGAAGGATGTAGGGCTGGGTAGGGTGTGGATACAGGAAAGGATGTAGGGCTGGGTAGGGTGTGGATACAGGAAAGGATGTAGGGCTGGGTAGGGTGTGGATACAGGGAAGGATGTAGGGCTGGGTAGGGTGTGGATACAGGGAAGGATGTAGGGCTGGGTAGGGTGTGGATACAGGGAAGGATGTAGGGCTGGGTAGGGTGTGGATACAGGGAAGGATGTAGGGCAGGGTAGGGTGTGGATACAGGGAAGGATGTAGGGCTGGGTAGGATGTGGATACAGGGAAGGGTGTAGGACAGGGTAGGGTGTGGATACAGGGAAGGACGTAGGGCTGGGTAGGATGTGGATACAGGGAAGGGTGTAGGGCAGGGTAGGGTGTGGATACAGGAAAGGATGTAGGGCTGGGTAGGGTGTGGATACAGGAAAGGATGTAGGGCTGGGTAGGGTGTGGATACAGGGAAGGATGTAGGGCAG